ATTATTTTAACTTTATTTATTTTAATTTGAACAGAGAGGGGCAGAATGAGAGAGAAGGAAAGTGAGGAAGCAAGCCATCATGTCTGGGACTTGAACCACGGTGGGCCTATGTGGGAGTACAGCTCTCCTAAGCACCATGCCACCTGCCTGCCCCCAAGAAACCTTTATTAAACCCCAAGAGTGGGAACTCCTTGGAAGAGGTTATTTCTGCTTCCTGATTGAGCAGGTAAAAGCTTGGAAAGATAATATCAATAAGTATTCTGGATTCATATGTAGAATGAATGTTATCATTAAACTTTTTTTTTTTTTTTGAGAGGTTTTTGCTATAGGGGGGGGGCGCCCCCCCCCTATAGCAAAAACCTCTCAAAAAAAAAAAAAAAGGGAACCAGCAGTTAGTGTAATGGCTATGTTGCTGGATTCCCACGTAGTCGACCGCGGTTCGTGTCCCGGACCCGGTGGCTTAAAAATACCGCCGGGCGCGTGTGCGTGCGTGCCCAAGATCCCGAGAGGAGAATGGAGGAGAAGGGATTGCGGCGTGACCATCCCCCCTGGGGGGAGATTTCTCGCTTTCTGTCTCTCTGTCTCTCTCTGTCTGTCTGGCGAGCGCATGTGTCCTACAGTGAAAATCTCTCAAAAAAAAGAATTATTTTATTTGGGGTTGGCAGGTGGCTTGGTGGTTAAGGGCGCTGGACTCCCATCTGGCTGACCGTGGTTTGAGTCCTAGACCTGGCAGCTTGCTTTCTCACTTTCCCTCTCTCTCTCATTCTGTCCCTCTCAGGTCAAATTAAAATAAATGAAGTTAAATAAAATAATTCATTCTTTCTTTTAATTTGATCAGAGAGGGAAAGTGAGAAAGCAAGCTGCCAGGTCCAGGATTCGAACCATGGTCAGCCACGAGGGAGTCCAGCTCCCTTAATCACTATGCCACCTGCCGCCTTTAAACTTTTTATTGGATGCATTTGTAGAGTATTAAAAATTGAGAGTGAAATTTAGATGAATAAATAGGCAGCAATTCCAAATATAGGTTATAATCCTTAAATCATTTCACAGTACAGATCAGTTTGAGAGCTTTCTCCTTTTCGTTCTTTTTCAGTGTAGATTAAAAACAAAACTTAGCCAGGAGGTAGCTAATTTCCCTGGACCTGTGTGGGAAAGGGCCTGGGTCTGCACACCAGGAACTCCTGAGCCCACCAGGCACGTGCACATGCCCATGAGCCAGGTTAGCTGAACCTGGGGGTGGATCACAGCATGACTGGGGTGCCTGCCCCTCTCGCCCTTCCTCCTTCTCATCAAGGAAATCAAATAATCTTAAAAAGAAAACTGGCATACAGAGATAAATTTGGCGATATATACAGAGTGCTATGAGAGAAGCAGCAAGCAGCAGAGAAAGGAATTACTTTTTTATAAGTATTATTGTGAGTTTCGGGGGAAGAATTACCTCAACCTGCACCTTCCTGTCCTCTTATTTGAATGACCAGTGGATCAGAGAATTAAACTTTATCTCCCATAAAAAAAAAAAAAAAAAGAATCAGCTTACAGGGCCAGCAGGTGGCATGGTGGTTAAGGCACTGGGTCCCACATTGCCAACTCCATGGTTTGAGTACTGGATTTGGTGGCTGGAAAAACATACTGGGTGTGTGTATATGTGCATGCTCAAAATCCCAAGAGGAGAGTGGAGGACAAGGGATTGTGGTGTGGCCATTCCCCTCTGGGGTGGTGATTTCTCACTTTCTCTGTCTCTGGCAAGCACACATGCCCCATACCCAAAAAAAAGAAAGAAAGAAAAAATTTACAAAAGGAATGGCATAGCGAGCCCATTGATAGAAAGGATAAATGTGTCATTCTGTGACAAAGGTGAAAGCTAACAGAGAAAAGATGAATATGGTCAAAACACATATTGCATTTAGTGATTGTGAGCACAGCTTTGACATCAGGCAACTCTGGTTAAACTTAGCACTGGTCGGGACCAGCAGGTGGCACGGTGCTTAAGGCGCTGGATATTCCCACATGGCCAACCACGGTTCAAGTCCTGGACCTGGTGGCTTGCTTTCTCACTTTCTCTCTTTCTCTCTCTGTATGTGTCTCTCTCTGGTCAAATTAAAAATGAATGAATAAATAAATAAACTTAAATAATTATTAAAAAAAAAAAAGAAGCACTGCTGATTTGCAGTTGTTTAATTATAGAGGGTTTTCTTTCCGGCTTCTTTACCGTTACAACATGTCAGATGGGGATGATGATAATGCTCATAGAGTCATTGTTAGGACGAAATAAAATGTGTGTAAAGGACTTAGCACAAAGTCTAGAATATATTAAGTACTCAATAAATATTGATTCTTGTCTTTTTTAGGTTTTGCCATAGGGCACATGCGCTCGCTGGTGAGAGACAGAGAGGGAAAGTAAGAAATCACTCCCTGGGGTATGGCTACACAGCAATCCCTTCTTCCTGGTGATTTTCAAGCTGCCAGCTCTGGGACTAGAACTGCAGTGAGCCATGTTGGAATCTAGCAGCTTAACCACCACACCACCTGCTGGCCCAAGATATTGACACTTACACATAAAGGTCATAGGGCCAGCTCAGTGGCACAAGTACACCACGTGTGCTTCACTGATGCTGCATTTATATGGAGGACCACAGGTTTGGTTCTCTGGTCAGCTTGTACACCCCATGGTCCTTGTTGAGAGTGCTTGTTTTTCTCTCTCTCAAGAAAGAAATAAACTTTTTTTTTGAGAGTTTTTTTTTTTTTTTCACTGTAGGGCGCGTGCGCTCGCCAGACAGACAGAGAGAGACATAGAGACAGAAAGCGAGAAATCACCCCCCAGGGGGGATGGTCACGCCGCAATCCCTTCTCCTCCATTCTCCTCCCAGGATCTTGGGCACGCACGCACACGCGCCTGGCGTGAGTTTTAAGCCACCGGGTCCGGGACGCGAACCGTGGTCGACTACGTGGGAGTCCAGCGACATAGCCATTACGCTAACTGCTGGTTCCCAAGAAAGAAATAAACTTTTAAAATAATGAGTTTCAAGTCTCAAAATACATAAAAATAAAAGGATTAGCAGGCCAGCCCTATAGCAGTGGTCTAACTGCAGTGCACCAGGAACCAGGTGCCATGTGGCCAGCTACATTTTAAATCCTGACCCCAGTAACTTGACAAACACACTGAGCATGCGCACATGTATGTTCAGAATCCTGATGGGATGGAGAAATAGAGGAAAAAGGATTGTGGCATGACCGTACCCTGTTGGGGAATGCTTTCTCTCTCTCTCCTAAGTGTGCACAGCCTCTGACAAAGAAAATAAAATGAACAGAGTAGAGAAATATTTGACTGACATAATGCCTTATACACAATATTGTTGAAGAAACAGTAAACTTTCTTCTGGAAAAATCCTTTACTTGCATGTAAAGAAATGACAGTTAAGACAAACTTCTGTCATAGTACCAAACAGAACTTTGTGGACTGGATTCTAGAGAGGCTATACCTCATGGCACCATAAATAGACCAAGGTCCTTGGAGGGACCGGTTACAGGAACTCACATGCCACAACCTGGCGATTCCACTCTGGAGGTTCTAGAAAAAGAGTGAAATTCGGTTAGGACCAGAATGTATTCTTCAGCACTTGGGTCAGTAGGAGACATCTGTGTTGAGACATCTGTGTTGGCCTCGGGTCCAGGAAGAGGCTGCCACAGCTGACCAGCTGGGTCTCAGAACTGATTTTTTTCCTCTCTTCTCTTTCTAGCAAAACTCCAGGCCGCTGTGGTGTTGAACCCTGGCTATTCCTCCATCCCACCCATTTTCCAGCTCTGTCTGAACTGGAAAGGGGAGAAAACCAACAGCAATGATGACAACATTCGGGTAAGGAGAACAGGGGTGAGGGGAGCAGGGAGAGCCCTGGGGGAGGTGGGCAGTGGCAGAACCTGGTGCTGAGGGCTTGGGGGTTTGCCTGAATTCCTGTGGCAGGGATTTGTAGAATTTGCCGGAGGTGGGGGCTGCCAGGTGGCATGGTGGTTGAGGGTACTAGACTCCCACATGACTGACTGCGGTTCAAGTCCCAGACCTGGCAGCTTGCTTTCTCACTTTCTTTCTCTTACTTACTTTCCCTTACTCTGTCCCTCAGTGGTCAGATTAAAATAAGTAAGTAAATAAACAAAGTTAAATGAAATAATTCTTTTTTTTAGAATTATTTTACTTGACTTTATTTATTTCTTTTTAAAAATTATTTATTGGGAACCAGCAGTTAGCGTAATGGCTATGTCGCTGGACTCCCACGTAGTCGACCGCGGTTCGCGTCTCGGACCCGGTGGCTTAAATCTCACACCGGGCGCGTGTGCGTGCGTGCCCAAGATCCCGAGAGGAGAATGGAGGA